GTAGGAGTCAGAGGCCATGCTGCTGCTACTGATGTTTCTTCCTCCTTTTCTGCCTCACAGTTCACTCTAACTAGCATCAGGCATGGGACTTGTTGCTCCACCTGTGCTAAGGCAGCTGGTGATACTGTCATCAAACTGGTTGTCCAAGGTGGTGAACTGTCACAGGAACAGCCAAATGGATAGCTGCTTTTCCCTTCTCTCGTGCGCTGGGGGAAATATTTCTTTTTGGGACTATAGACAAGTTGATTTCAGTTAGTGGTCGCATCTGGCCCATGAACCATAGATTCCAATCCCTGGTATATAGGATTGATGATTAAGACTTTCAACCTTATGATTTGAACTTCCTGCAAAAAAAAAAACACCACTCCACAGAGCTACAAAGACGATCATATGGGTCCTTCCATCTCTATTTAAAAACATGGCTCAACTTATTTTAAAAAAATAGGAGTTTCTTTCATTTATAGCATACACAAATTTATCGTTGTTAATAAAATAATTCTATAAGTATTTGCCTCACAAAACCACTTCTCTTCAAAATGTTTAGTGAAAACAAATAACCAGGAATGGTTTACTAACCACTATAAGAAAATTGCTTATTCTGGACTAGTATTTTCTAAATCAATAGCATGCATACCATTGATGATATACAGAAATAATGCAACTCCCCTCCACAAATATGTGATAAGCCAGATAGAAAAGAAGGGCAGAGCTGCCATTTTCCAGTCAAGCAGCAAATGAAAAAGAACTAAGCATTCTGGCCAAACCAGACCGAGAAGTTTGGGCTTAGGAGCAAAGCAAAATGAAATAAAATAATTCTGTGCTACCTCTCATTTGGATTTTTGTTAGGGCGTAAGGGAAGACTATTCTAACATTGCTTCAGTGACATTTCATTATTATTAGCGCACAATTATCGTACGGGTAGTCCTTAACCTACAACTATTTATTTAGTGGCTGTTTGAAGTTATAATGGCACTGAAAAAAGTGTAAGTTGCTTTACAACTGGTCTCCCACTTACAACCGTCACAGCGTTCCCATGGTCCCTTGAACAAAATGGTAATTGGAATGTGTTTATGACAATTGCAGCATCCCAGAGTCATGTGATCATTTTTGTAACCTTCCCACCTGGCTTCCAATAAGCAAAGTCAATGGGAGAACCAGAATCACTCAATAACATGGTTCATTTCAATAACAACCAGTGATTTGTTTTACAACTGTGATAAAAAGTTCATAAAATGGGTTGCAATTCCCTTAACTATCATGCTTAGCAACATAAATTTTGGGCTCAATTGTGGTCATAAGTCAAGGACTACCTTGACTACCTATTGTCTATTAGCTGTGTTATTAAATTTTCACACAAAAATTTAAACATGTATATTTAGACATTGAATTGCTTGAAACTATCCCGCAGGCTGACAAAACCACTTTTCCCTTTGCTGAAAAATAATTTTAAAAATTGCTGAAGGGAAAAATAAATAATTTTCTCCCAGCATTATCTGCCCTGATATAACTCTTCCTATGTAAGATCATTTACATGCATTCATATATTCCCAGTTATTCCCCGAACGTATGAACCGAAGAGCAAATGTAAAGTATTAAAATTGTAATAATAACTAAAAAGAATATGGTTTAGTTCAGGGGTCTCCAACCCTGGCAACTTTAAGACTTGTGGACTTCAACTCCCAGAGTTCCTCAGCCAGCAAAGCTGGGACTCTGCTCTGGGAGTTGAAATTACAAGTCTTAAAGTTGCCAAGGTTGGAGACCTCTGGTTTAGTTAGTACAAAGACCAATTTAGGGTATCTTCTAACACAGGGCTGCCAAACTCCCGCCCCTGGGGCCAAATGCATCACCTGCTGGCCATGCCCACATCTGGGTTAGCAAAGGGATGGGGGAGTTTGATATGTCACCTGATACCACCATGACAATGTGAGTTTGACACCCCTGCTCTAACAGATATCAATGAAGAGTTAAACACTCCTTCAATTTGAGCTCAACTCCTGGTCATATTTATATAGTTTTTATGTAGCTTTCTTAGCAGCAAAATTCTGACTTTTTAATCTATTTTACAGCAGAAGCATTCTTTGAAAGTCTATCCAAATTCTAGCCAAGATTGACTTAGTTCCAGAAATCAGAAGTCAAGGTCAAGTCAGGTGATACCACCTGCTGAGACACCAAGGAAGGTTTCAGGATCTCCTCATTTCAAATGTACATTATTTAAAGTCTTAAAAAGTATATCTTTATTGAAAATCATTCTACCATCTGGCCACCTTCGAAGCTATATTTATGCAAGGTTACCATCCTCTGTCTTAAAAACAACTTAGGAGTCATGAGAAAATATTTATGTGAGAAACATAGTAGTTAATCCTTTAAAATTTAATTAAATACAGAAATATGTCTACCTGAAAGGGTTGGCGTCTTTGAGCAAATTGTTAGATATGGATCACTTTCTAAGATTTGCCATTTTGCTAGATTAAAAGATACACAAACGACTGTCTAATATAATGTATGATATAATGTCTTTAAAAAGTGATATTCTCCAACAGCAGGAATTTTATTTACTGCCTTAGTGTCTCATAGAGAAACAGGGATAATCTAATCAGGGAGTTTAGGGAAAGTTATAAAGCGAAACCCTTTCTGATTCAAAAGAAAATTTCAAAAAGCAACAAACACAGCTGCCATTTCCAGGCCACTTCCTGCAAGGATGGGGGAGGGAGCAGAAGAAAAGGATTGTTTGCATCAGGTTCGGCACACATGATTCAGCAAGGGAAAACAACAGCTCAGAGCATTCATTCACCCTAGAGCCACTCAAGGCTCCCTCTCTCACTATGCCTGCATCCCACCTCCACCCACACAAAAGGCTCTCAGCCTTAGCCATGATTTACCTGAACTCAGTGATCTCCGTCTCCCAAAACAGGTATATTGGCCTTTCCAAGAATTTAAGAGATTGTCACGAAATAGATCATCACCTCGGATTATCTTCCAGGCGAGACTCTTTCTCATAGGCATGATACGCCCATGGAGAAGGAGATTCCCCGGCATCAGATTGCACCTCCCCCACCTAAGTATGTCAGCGGTGATGCCAGAACCTCAAGCTCTGCCACCGTAAAGAGACCCGGGTTCTTCTCTCATATATGCCCAGCGAAAAAGCTCTCTTGCCAGCGCCAATCTCACTCGAGGTACCAATGGATGCCCATCGGCCAATACAGGAGCCCTTTACTTGTTCTCTCTTTTTTCCTAAAGCCATTTTTCTTCCCAAGCTTCCTCGGCAGAGAAGGATCCCTGAGAGGTGGGGCAAAGACTCTCGGCTGACCCACCTCTTCCTTTGCTCCCACCTCCCCAATAAAGTCTTCTTTAACCTCCTCCCTGGTCGGAGACCACGCTCGTCCTGCTGCATCCCCCAGAAAGCCCCTACTATGGCCTCCCTCCCCGCAGCCCTCCTCCTCCTCGCTTTAAAAGCAGCCAAAAGATGGGGAGCTTTTCGCTCGCCTCCCCAACTCCTCTCGCTCGAGGCTCATCACCGGCCTCTCCCTCCCCCCCCCCAAAAAAAGTGCGGAACCCCCCCCCCCTTCCCCCAAGGTTTCGAGGGCCTTCCCCCCCCAAACAAGGCTGCTGCGGGGGCTTAA